TCGTCTTCGCCTACGAATATACCTGAGATTTCTAGACCTACGACACAATATACGTGTCATGATTATTGATGACATTATCCTGGTTAGGTTGTTCAATTTTCCCTTAGATTAAATTGGTGTTTTTTTATAAATATTTGTAAAGAAGGTATATAAAACCCTTTTCAGCTAAAATTTTTACTCTCAAGTACATACAGGCATAAGCTTTACGTTATAGTTTGAATTCGAAATAATTATAACTGGATAAATTGATATACAATTTAACAAAAGGCGTTGGAAATTCAAACTTCTCTGCTCTATAGAGTTTTCATTATACGTATAATCTAAATTGTATCATTTAAATGGATACATGTAACAAATGCATATATCAGACGTCATGTTTTGTAAATTACTTGTTAACCGACATGCTTCGCATGTCATGGGTTGGTAGAGACATGCACAATTAATCTAAGTAAAACTAAAAAAAAACACAAATTTAAATGAATAATTGTAATTAATTGAAGCAGAAATAAGATAAAGATAAAGATATTTTTTTTCATCTTTATCTTTAGAAATAAATGTTTATCTTAAAATACACATATTCGATTGTGGATTAAACGTTATTTTTTATAGATCAAATGCAGTCCTTCAACAGGACAAAAATCATTATACATTGAACCAAAATGTTACAAAACCAAAGAGCAATGACTTAGTGTCTAGTTCTTATCATATGTACTTTATTTCTTGAAACACTTATAAACAATCTCATTGTTACCCAAAAATTACATTGCATTAGAGACTCTTTACTGAGTGGTAGTATGTCCTCCCACTACAAGATTTTATCGAGAAAAATTGTATACTAATTTTTTAATAACAAGTTAAATTACATTTTCGGAACAAAGCAAAGTTTGTACTATACTGTATATGGGTGTTTACCTTTGCAACTGAATATATAAAGAGGTATGGGGTCTTTTACCCCTGTATTTGTTTTATTCAAATCTAAAATTTGTCAAATTATATTTAAAGGTCAATGTCATAAATTTAAAATATTTTTTGAACAATTTTACATATTTCCACACTATTAATGCGTTATTCAGCGCTTCATTTTACTGATGAATGCATTTTCATACAAAATATTACTTGTTTTTTTCTTAAATTTTGCATAATAAACAAACTATTTTCAGTAGAATTTTGGTTATAGTTAAGGATGTCCTTTTACTCTTTGGGGAATAAATGCTCAAAATTTGCCCATATCTACAAAAAATGCAGTTTAGGGCTATCTTTAAACGTTTATAATTTAGTGATATGTTTAGAAATAAGCCATATTATATTTAGAACCTCAAAGTACATACATTAAGCTGCGATATTGTTAATTTTAGTAAAGATTGAAATTGTTTTTGAAAAATATCAGGGGAAATTGATCCTTCCTCTTTACAATTGTGTTAAACTAGGCTAGTGGAGTCCAATGAAAAACATTTGTATTTGATAAGTTAATGCTTTCGTAAATCAAAAAGTCAAATAAAAATATGGAAGAAACTTACTGTAGTTTAAAAAAAAATAAAACCAGTTAATTACAGTAACTGTTCAAAATCCTAGATTCCTTTGACGTGATTGGACTTTATATATATGTATAGATATATACCAAACACAAATCGTCAAATCTCAATGACTTAATTTTGCATCAGATCCTGTTGCTTCTAACAAAGAACCGGATCACAAAATAAACAAACATGTGTAAATATCGGTTTATATATTTATTATTAACGATAAAGAAAAATAATGCGATGAATTTATGAATGAGAGCTAATCTTGTTTAAGAGGATAGTTGTTGTTTTTCACGTATCTTTGATTAGTCTAGGGGAAGTGGTAGACTTTGTCAATGAGATGCAAGGAGATTTAACCGATGTACAATACTCTTAATCCTCATGTTCAAAGGGAATCGCATATACTCTTATCGGAGCGAGTGAGACTACGTCGACAGGATAAGAAGCGTCTACTGCTGAAAACCAGTGAGCTACACTCGATCCTGTTCAGAAACAGGAATCAGTTTATTTATAAACAAGATATTTAGAGCTTGACCTATCCTATAGCAACCCGTCTATTGTTGAAGATATTTATAGCTTGACATAACCTATAGCCACCCGTCTATTGTTGAAGATATTTAGAGCTTTACATAACCTAAAGCCACCCGTCTATTGTTAAAGATATTTGGAGCTTGACATATCCCTAAGCCACACGTCTATTGTTGAAGATATTTAGTGCTTGACATAACCTATAGCCACCCGTCTATTGTTGAAGATATTTAGAGCTTCACATAACCTATAGCCACCCGTCTATTGTTGAAGATATTTAGAGCTTCACATAACCTATAGCCACCCGTCTATTGTTGAAGATATTTAGAGCTTGACATATCCTATAGTCACCCGTCTATTGTTGAAGATATTTAGAGCTTGACATAACCTATAGCCACCCGTCTATTGTTAAAGATATCTAGAGCTTGACATATCCTATAGCCACCCGTCTATTGTTGCAGATATTTAGAGCTTGACATGATCTATAGCCACCCGTCTATTTTTGAAGATATTTAGAGCTTGACATAGCCTATAGTCACCAGTCTATTGTTGAAGATATTTAGAGCTTGACATAACCTAAAGCCACCCGTCTATTGTTGAAGATATTTAGAGCTTGACATATTCCTTAGCCACACGTCTATTGTTGAAGATATTTAGAGCTTGATATATCCTATAGCCACCCGTCTATTGTTGAAGATATTTAGAGCTTGACATAACCTATAGCCACCCGTCTATTGTTGAAGATATTTAGAGCTTGACATATCCTATAGCCACCCGTCTATTGTTGACGATATTTAGAGCTTGACATAACCTATAGCCACCCGTCTTTTGTTGAAGATATTTATAGCTTGACATAATCTATAGCCACCCGTCTATTGTTGAAGACATTTAGAGCTTGACATATCCTATAGCCACCCGTCTATTGTTGAAGATATTTAGAGTTTGACATAACCTATAGCCACCCGTCTTTTGTTGAAGATATTTAGAGCTTGACATAACCTATAGCCACCGTCTATTGTTAAAGATATTTAGAGCTTGACATAACCTATAGCCACCCGTCTATTGTTGAAGATATTTAGAGCTTGACATAACCTATAGCAACCCGTCTATTGTTGAAGATATTTAGAGCTTGACATATCCCTTAACCACCCGTCTATTGTTGAAGATATTTAGAGTTTGACATAACCCTTAGCCACCCGTCTATTATTGAAGATATTTAGAGCTTGACATAACCTATAGCCACCGTCTAATGTTGAAGATATTTAGAGCTTGACATAACCTATAGCCACCCGTCTATTGTTGAAGATATTTAGAACTTGATATATCCTATAGCCACCCGTCTATTGTTGAAGATATTTAGAGCTTGACATAACCTATAGCCACCCGTCTATTGTTGAAGATATTTAGAGCTTGACATATCCTATAGCCACCCGTCTATTGTTGACGATATTTAGAGCTTGACATAACCTATAGCCACCCGTCTTTTGTTGAAGATATTTATAGCTTGACATAATCTATAGCCACCCGTCTATTGTTGAAGACATTTAGAGCTTGACATATCCTATAGCCACCCGTCTATTGTTGAAGATATTTAGAGTTTGACATAACCTATAGCCACCCGTCTTTTGTTGAAGATATTTAAAGCTTGACATAACCTATAGCCACCGTCTATTGTTAAAGATATTTAGAGCTTGACATATCCTATAGCCACCCGTTTATTGTTGAAGATATTTAGAGCTTGACATAACCTAAAGCCACCCGTCTATTGTTGAAAATATTTAGAACTTGACATATCCTATAGCCACCCGTCTATTGTTGAAGATATTTAGAGCTTGACATAACCTATAGCCACCCGTCTATTGTTGAAGATATTCAGAGCTTGACATATCCTCTAGCCACCCGTCTATTGTTACAGATATTTAGAGCTTGACATAACCTATAGTCACCCGTCTATTGTTGAAGATATTTAGAGCTTTACATATCCTATAGCCACATGTCTATTGTTGAAGATATTTAGAGCTTGACATAACCTATAGCCACCCGTCTATTGTTGAAGATATTTAGAGCTTGACATAACCTATAGCCACCCGTCTATTATTGAAGATATTTTTTGCCCTCCTGATGTTTTTTTCTTCTTGTTATTTTTGTAGTTGAGTAGCTGCATCATTGACGTATTCTATTTCTTCACAGGAATCATTGGTCGCCTTTTTTATGTTTATGTCAAATCCATAATATTTATAGGGATTGTAAGCTTACTGAGGAAAACTTTGCTTATCTGTAGTTCAAAATTTGGAATTTCCTTTGCATAATTTGTGAACAAAAAATGCTGTTGTTACATACTAAATATCAAGTATATATAATTTACTATGGTTGGAACAGTTTAATAGATGAAAAATATAAAGAAAACAGATAATTGTGCATTTTCCAACTTCTGAGGTCCGCCAAAGCAGATTCTTCTGACCAATTTCACTTTATTTGTTGCACTCGACGGGTCAAAATATGAAGTTTATTGAACGTTAGCGGAATTTTTGTATTGAAGTGTTTTTACACAAAATCTTTTACAAATCGATGACATCAAGATGTTATTCAATAACACATGTTGCCATTGAAGACAATTTTGATATTATATAATCAAACTTTTACATGATATTATAAAATTGTGAATCAAAGGACATCTGTAACCAAACTTCAAAACAATGCATAGCCTTATTTTCGACAGAATTTGTGAAATATGGTTAGAAATGCTGTGTTGTCGATATTACAGATTTAACGCTCGTTCCTATATATACCCCTGGATTCAGAATCTCTCGAAGTGAAAGCTAATCTAGTAGCATCCATGTTGTCATGACAATGGTATAAATTTTCTTTTATTTACACGTTGGTGCAGAAAGGTAAACCCAATTTCAATTTCAAACAACATACGTTTTTAAAGAACAATGAAGAAAAAATTACCTTAAAACGTTTATTACATCCAGTTCTTAACCAGAGTGATAAACTCCTACTACACCTGTCTATAGAATGAATTTTGATAGATAAATCGATGTCAGTCTTGGTTGGTCACATGCGAAGATATTACTAAAGGTTGTGACGAGGAGTATATCATTTATTTTTTGTCTTTCCGCATGACAAAATAGATGTTATAAAAATAAGTAAAATTTGATTTCTATTTGATAAAGTGAATCATCGTATATTTTTATTTTAACTCCAGCCACCTACTTCCGAAGGTTCTTACTATGCGTTTCCTTCCTAAATAAGAGGCGGATGATACTAGAGAGAGCATCAAAACTCATAAATCCAATAGGGACCGAGAAAATCATAACAAGAAACGATAAACGATTGAACAGTCTTTCAAAACATAAACCAGTTTGCTGTTGGAATACAATATCAGCATTTTATAATTACAGGTCTTTACAATAGTCAACGTATAATAAGTGTGAAACTTCTACGAAAGCCGGTATGGGACAAGGGGGAAAATATTATGTCGTTTTCAAAAATAGTATGTCGTAAAAATTTACGATAAAGGATGACGTTTTGATTGGCATAACGAAATGAAGAGGTCTTTCCATTAATTGTGGACATTCGTGTCGTTCTACCACCTCTAGTTCTTTACATTTTGATGAAGTTTATCTGAAGACCTGAATCTTTAATTAATAAACTCAACATGGCCTTTGTCTATTTATTTCAACCTTGATATGAGATTTCACGTTAGTTCTTCCGTATTTATTTTTAAAATCTCAATTGGTTTGTCTGTTGTGTGTTATCAGTGGCATCTTTGATTCTGAGAAAAGTTCAATTTGAATATAAAATCAAGGATTCAGATATTAGTTTTACTTAGTTAAACATAACATAATGAATGTTCTATTGAAGGTCGATTCCTTTAATGAAACACAACACAATAATGATATTTCCAATCAGTTCTTCGTGGTAAATATTAACATCCAAGATTTAGAGTTCTTATTCGGTTGAAAAACTTTTTTTTAAATTCATTTCTTTAACTATTTTTATTCAATCTTTACAGGGGTAAAAAAGGAGACAATAAAAAGAAGTAGACAAAACCATTGCAAAATAAAAAACGACATCAAGACAAACAACAGTCTTCAAAACAAAACCCTAACAGAAAACTAACGATGAGCAACACTAACTCTACAAAAACTAGGGTTGATCTCTGGTATTTCTGAATGGATAGGTATTCCGGATGAGTAAGCAGATCAAGCTCACCTTGTGGCACTTGTCGTGTTGTTCACGACAAGTAAAAGTTAAGGTTAAGATAAGGGCCATTGATACACCAATTACTTTACAGCATACTTATATCTTTGTGTTTTCTGCATTTGTTTTAGGACAAATTCATAATCAAAATTATACTAGACTGTGGGATTTTTTTAACTATACAAGTCATTGCTAAATCAAAACTATTAAGACGCCCCCTACCCGTTATTAGAAGTGGGCTCAGTGTCCAAAAACACCTCTAGTTAACGAGTTTAAATTAACGGACAAACACACGGCTGAATTTTTTTACAAAATATAGGAAAATAATTATATCTTACAATCATGATTTTCGTCGTAAGTTCCCGCGGTCACGATTTTCTAAATTTCTAGTTTTTACAGGGTACCCCCATATACCGTATTGTATAACATGAAATATAAAACTATTGCGCTCTTTGTTGGTGGTTGAAATAGTACTTATAGTATAGTTTATATATCATATAAAGAAAGAGGAAAGTATTTAAGTGATTTTAGTAAAAGTATTTCAGCATTTTAGTATGACTAAAATTTTACCCGAAATTTACCACATTTTCATCGAAAGCAAAATTATTACGTGTACCATCACGATATTTTTTATCCTGATTAAAGCCATAAGAAACAGTGCATGTGTGTGCCAAATTTCATGTGTGAATTAAAAGTCGTTTTGAAGAAATTAGCAATTAAAAACACAAATTAAGTAAACATTTTGACACTGATTAGAGCTATTTTCCTAATGCTTGTAATTTGTCTGCTCAAACATTGTAATTGAGATTGACACCTGCAATCAATAGATAAGCGGGGCTTCAGCTTGTATACATTATACTTAAATGTCATTGGCTGTTAAGTATAATGCGGACAGGAATTTTTTTTCAGAATTGACCATTTTTTCATCTGTTACTACGCATGATTATTTTTTCCCACGGCTTTGGTGCGCGAACATTTATTTTCACTTTTGTACACATTTGTATCCTCAACTATCTTGCGATTCATGTTGCAGAGTATTCATTCTCATCGTGTCTTGTGCAAAGTCATTTATTGTCAGCTTATACCAGGCAAAATTATTCATTTTCAGAATCCTCCTCCCCATTTTGAAATCAAATGGTCGTCCCCTTGTTTAAAGCTAATGAAAGGACGTCATCAATAGTCTGCGAAAAGTATGATCATTATAATTCATTACCGTAAAAACTAGGATTCTACAGGTACAGCATACTTTACTAACTGACTGAATTATGTCGAAAGTCTTAGAGAAAAGGATTATACATTCTTTATATGCCTGTCCCAAGTCAGGAGCCGGTATTTGAGTAGTTGCCATTGGTTCATGTCGGTCATATTTGTTTTTCGTAAATTGTTTTGTTTTACATTAGGCCGTCAGTTTATTCAAATGAATTGTTTCATATTATTCATGTCGGGGTCTTTTATAGTCGACTATACGGTATGGTTTTTTATCTCATTGTTGAAGGCTGTACGGTTACATAATATTAACATTATCAATGTTCCATGTAAATGAGGTAAGGTCAGATGAACTCTGCCACAAAGACATGTACACTTGGCTATCATTCCATACACCAGATATATTTGACCGACTACTTATAGTATCTGAGATACGGACTTGACCATGGAAACTTAATCTTGTTCACTGATCCATGAAATGAGGTCGAGATCAGGTGAACCATGTCTGACGGATATGTAGACCACACAAGCATACCATATTTTAGTAACCAAATATAGTTATCCTAGACAAAGATAAGTGAGACATTCACATGACGAAAAAAAGCTTTACAGTTTTTTTAGCAGTCACTGAACCATGAAAATGAGGTCAAGGACAATGATTATATGACAAACGGAAACTTCGTAATACAATGGATCTATGAATCACCCAATTGCTCTATTCTACAAGCTTCAGCAATTTTCTATGTTGTTTACCAGTGTTTTTAAAATACATCGATGCTGTACATACCCCTGTTTTTTGTAGATAATATTTAATTACCTAGGTCAATTTATGCTCAACAAGTGTGTAAGATAAAGATTAACCGGTTTCTAATTGTCATTTTATTTTCATAACATTGACAGACAGCCCTCCCCCTTTTTCACCGTATGCAGTATTTCTTATTTCTATAAAGCAAAGATATACTCAGACCTGCTAATTCAATCCATTCTGCGTTAATATTACACCAGTTTTGGGACTAAGTACAATTTGATGTGCTTCCACACTCACCAAAAGAAAACTGGACATTTACCCAGAAAATCATTACGAACACCTTCTATCAAAAGACGGAAAAAATTATTTTAAAGAGCGTTTATTCGTACCATATATATTCCGTTTATGTGAGGTGATACACGATACCTTTTCTTCGATCTTGTAGTCTATCTTTTACATTCCTTTACAATTTGATATTGATATCGATATTCCATTGAACTAATTCTCAACCTGTCGAGATTCATAACAATATCGAACATGCAATGGATCTTTGGTCATATGGACTTTATAAAGCTTTATATTCTCTTTAAAAGCAACATTAAACAATAAAATGGAGAGAAGGAGACAATGATGATAAACTGTAAAAAAAAAAAAAACAAAAACAAAAAAACCGTTATAAATTCCATGCGTCTAAAGCGTTTTTATGTATTTACCTTCATTAAGAATGCTCAAAGCCGAATATTGGAAAGCTAATATAAAAATAAGGAGATGATGTATGATTGCCAATGAGACAACTATCCACCAAAGTTAAAATGAAGTGAATGTAAGCAATTATATGCAACCGTACGGCCTTCAACAATGAGAAAACCCATACCGTATAGTCGGCTATAAAAGGCCCGACTAAGTATGTATTAGAACTGAAACAGTTGAAGTTAAAGTCTTTGTATATATACATTTCGACATGGCGGTCCCCTTAAATATTGTGGTTGATTGATTGTTGCTTGCTCAACGTCCAGTGATAATTATTTCATGCATTTTAATGACGAGGAAGAATTTGAATTACAACTTCATGGTCATAATACTGTAGTACTACTTAAACTGTGCCTTTCAATCGATCTACACAATTGCTGTCCGTATTGTCATGATTCGGTCAATCACTGAAAATCTCAGGAGGAATAATATGAAGTCATACATTAATTTGGTTTGCATGATAGTTCTGCAGTAATGTAATCTAGTAGCAAGTCGTCAATCAATCTACGTCACAATATTTTATTAATTCATTCAAATAATTGTGTGATACATTCCCTTCCCGTACTGTAAATCTTATTTGTTCGTTTAGGCAACAAGGAAATCTTATCTGATTGAAATATCTATTAAAAGCTCATACATTTGTACTGATGATACGATTTCCTAATTGATTAATTTCAACAGTACGGTTGCTACAACATACTTATAAACACTGATATTACATATGGTTTAACCCAGCATTTAAAGAAAATGTACCAAGTCAGGTATATGACAGTTGTTTTCCGTTCTTTTCGTTGGTTAATATAGTTTAACGTTTGATTTGGCCAGTTTTTATGGACTTCCCCCTGTTTGAATTTACCTTAGAATTTAAAATTTGTGTTTATACTTTTTTACACTAAGTTACAACAGCTGAAACATATGATTTTACATACACATACACATTACAGTTTTCAAGTGTCGATTTTAATAACTATGCAGTTTTTGCGTTATGAGCATACCCCTGCTAACATAGACATGAATGCGCGTGATGTATCGATTGAGATACGTAAAGTCCGTACGATGGGAAAGAGGTTACTACTGAGAAATTAGAAAAAGGCAATGGGAAAACTAAAGCCGTCACGTTTTTCAGAACAGATTTTTTTAACGGAGAAAAAAATCTGTAAGTTTGTTGAATATAACAGGAATATTTACTTGCACTTTATTCATTGTCATCGATGAAATCTCGTGCTTCTCGATAAAATGTATACTACTACTACTACAGGGGTGTTTAACGAATTTGACTAACCATGAGGGTCTCGTACGGTCGGTTATAAAATTAATCCTTAACACTGCGTGGTTTGTTTCATTTTGTAACAAAGGCACTCATTCATATTTTCATTAGCGCCATCCAAACACCAAGGAATGAGAAAATGATTAAACGGGGCCGTATCATTTCAGCCTCTTTTCAGTAACAAATTCAGGGGGATGAAAGTAGTCATTATAATACAATTACAATTAATATTACCGGTATTATACCTTGATAATCAAAAATATAGTGCTTATGACCAAACAACACCAACGATTTACTCATGTACGCAGCCGTACATCACTAATATATTTACGTTATTTTGATGCACCAAATACTTAAGGGTTGGGTGTGGCGTTCAAAATTGGTTTTCTTAAACGGCGAACAAGATAGTTATTGACGTGTACACAAAACGAAAATAAACATTTCCGGATTTAAAAATTGTTTTTACATGAAATATAAATTTGAGGCACCAGTAGTTTACCGATGTTCAAATTTCAACAATCCATTTAGAAGATATAAATCAATGTAAAAAACAAAAAAACAAAAACAAAAACTGTGGACCATGCAAATCCACTCACTATAAGGTCACAATCGGTACATTTACAGATCAGACGGCTATTATCGTATATTAAAAGATGTAAGACAGCGAAAATATGTCTCTAATATTTGAGAATAAGACACATCGTATCGATTTTTATCAGTCTTTTTGTAAAGAGAGCTTCTATGTCATTTGGTCTCTCGTTGAGAGTTGTCCTATTGGCAATCATACCACATCTTCTTATTTTTATATCTATGTATATGAAGTCTGTATATTGTGGAGATGCTAGAGTGTTCCGTATTAATTGTGATAATTATTATATAAACCCCATACGCTGGGATAGAGGGTATGTTACTGCTGAGAAATGTTTAGTTGACAATTTGAAAGTTGAAACCATCACGTTTGTCATAGATTCTGATGATCTCTGATTTGAAGTCGTCCATTTGAGTCCATATCGATGAAAGGTTCAAGATATGAAGTAGACATCCTAGTTTCGATAGTATCCTTAACCCGCCAGTTCACTAGGATAATTATATGAGATGCTAGCACGAACTGAAATGTGGGTTATTGAGTAACCTTACATCAACAATATATCTGAAATTGTTATTAAAGAACTTTGCAAGATGCTTTTTCTTTTGTCTGTTAGAAGTATCTGTATGAATTCTGCTTCACATGAGTACAAACACAAGTCGACCATTATGTGCGCACAGTAAGTACTCATTGGAATACCGACTGTCTGCTGAAATATCAATCCACCAAACTCAACAAATATGTTGTCGATCAAAAAAGTTTAGCATTTTGATGATATTATCATCGATGTATTTTTTGCTGGAATCAATGTGGTTCTTTACAAAGTAAGATTTTTCATGACTTAAAACATGTAATTTGTATCTGTAGCCCCTTTTTTGTAGAAAAGATCTGTTTGATGAGACGATGTGGTCGACCTTTTAATTGAGCATTGGGAAAAGTAGTGTAAAGTGTAGGGAAATCAAAAGGTTTTATATTGCCGCAGATTTGTACAGATTGTGATGGAAGATTTTATGAGTAGGTCTTGAGATTTTTTTAAATCCACATCTGATCGACACCGCTCATCGAATACTGTAAATTCGGAAATTATTACGAAAAATGCGACAGGGTTGTAATCGCAATAATTTAAACTCGCATTTTGGATTTTTTTGTATGAATGAAGGGGTATTTTTCTCAGTATCGCAAAATTAATAATCGCATTTTGATCTAAAATGAGAAAATAGCAATTATAAATGCAAGCAATAATTTCTAAACCTCATAACAATATTTTGAAGGCCATCTTTTACTTTAAAGATATAATGTATTCTAACATCAGTACTGCATTAGATCTACAGCTTAGTATACAGACGATTCTCTGTTGATGAAAAACCTCTTTAAATTTGATTAGATATTTTTTGTGGAGTTGCGTATTGTTATTGCCTCATAGTCGACCACATCATATATCCACCTAGTCTTATATAAATTTACATTTAAAAACTTAAAGTGGATACGATCAAGAAGTTAAGTTACAATTTCTTTATTTTATTTCAACGAAGTAGTCAGGAAGGAAAACATTTTAAACAGAAAGGATATTCAAATTCTTAGAATTAAAAGAAACGATAAGTAATAACATTAACGGTATCAATTCTATTGCACCAGATATGCATTTCGACAATTGACAATGAGGGTCGGTTGAAAACAAACTTAACGACAAAGAAAAAATGATTTCAGCTTCCGAATTGTGAAGTTTCCATATCTATGAAGCAACATTCCAGCAGCGTCTGCATACTGAGTACATATCTCCCAGTTCATACGATGTTCCATGGCTTGTATTTCCTATCATGATTTCCTTGAAATAGGGTTGCTGCTCACAAGGAAGCTATTAAACCAAGAGTTCTAAGTGGTGAAGTTGAAATCATCCCTTCGTAAATTTTACGGACGCCATCTCGAGTTGGTTGGCCGTTATGGAATATCTGTTTCACAGATGACGACGGATATGTTCCAATTGTCGTTACTACAATCCCGTCCCCTTTTCCCCGAATGTGACCTACCGAATTATACTTATCACCGGGTTTGTACTTGCATGAGTAACACGACGGGTGCCACATGTGGAGCAGGATCTGCTTACCCTTCCGGAGCACCTGGGATCACCCCTAGTTTTTGTTGAGGTTTGTGCTGCCTAGTCTTTCTATGTTGTGTTTTGTTTACTGTTGTTAGTCTGTTTGTCTTTTTCTTTTTAGCCATGGCTTTGTCAGTTTATTTTCGACTTATGAGTTTGAATGTCACTTTTGTATCTTTCGCCTCTCTTTTAATGTCTCCTCGGTGATGCTCAAGGCCAAAATATTTGTAAGTCAAAAACACAATAAAAACGTTTGAGAGCTAATCAAACCAAAAAAGGACCAAAAGTAAATTTAAACCCGGACAAGGAATCAGAGCACGAGGGAGATACATTACTTAATTTATAGCAATTTTGTAATTTTAAAACAGCAAATTCAAATCAAACTATATCCGTATTTTCAAGCCAGTACCGAAGTACTACGTACTGGGTTGATGCTATTCTTGGTGACTAACAGTTTACCAGTAGAGGTATCAACCCAGTGGCAGAACTAATAATAACAGTAACACAGTTCAATTATACATCAGACTTATACTGAATCATTGGCTGTTGGATGTATCTAGATCAAAATGTTGTTTCAACATAAAATTCATTTATTCAATTGTTGTTTTCTTCTTTGAGATGTCTTGTTTACCAATGCTACATACATAGTTTGGCGATGAACCACCTGTTTCAAAATTCTTTTTATTATAGAAACATTAACAATAAAGACAACAGTAGTTTACCGATGTTCAAAGCTGATAAATCGAATTAGTAGACAAATCAAGGTAACAAACTGAGAGAATGTTACAATGTTAGATTATAATTATAATCAGGAAATAATACTTTAAAGAATTTAAACTTGAGTACTTTTATCGCATGGAAAGTGTAGATGTGTGACATTTGTTCATGCTCTCGCATCATCTGATAGACCCTTTCCATCTGTCTTCTTACATAATGAAATAGCTGCTGTGATTCCAAGAACCTGCAAATATATCACTATAGAAATCAACATCATCATCAAATTTCAAACTATCAAAATAAACAAAAGGGCTTTCTCTTGTCCACTTTTGGAGTAAAAAATAAAATTTAGTTTCAGATCTATTTTTTCCAGTGATTTTTAAGTTCAATTCATAAGAAAATTTGAATGCGCCAAAGTGACATGTTTCAAACATTTCCTATTGATACTGTACCTTTTGAATAGTATTTACGTTAAGCTTGAAGTATATAAAGAAGGTGATTTTCAAGTTATATATAAGACCTTTCATTCGGATGCTCGAAAAACATGGGTTAGTGAGGCTGAAAAAACAGTCAGTGCATAACAAATATGTAAAGTTATTTAATTTATAAAAACAAACTCATCAAAGATACCAGGCTTATAATTTTGTACACCAGACAGGCGTGTCGTCTACAAAGATTCACAGTGACACTCGAATAAAAAAATCAAAATCAAGTAGAAGTTGGAGTGCATTGAGAACTTTAAATAATCCATGCAGATCGTATTAAACTTAATATTTGATAAAATCATCTAATTTATTGACTGAAAACTATAATGTGTGCACATGTAGCAGGTGTATAATTTGTGTTTTCCAAAATACAAAACTGAGATGTTAAAGGCAGGCAAACTCAACGATACTCTTAGAGTAAACAAAATTCACGTACTTGTATTACACGATTTGATCTTTATTAGCCCGCTTACATATTATAAGGGCGCTAGCTATTGTGGTAATCTGTGTAAAAGAAAATAGAAAATGTTTTGTTAAACAAATTTATTAAAGGGTAATAAACTTGGCGATTATACATGTGGTGTAATCTTATAACGTTTTGACAAAATGTAAACAATAAGCACTATTCTGCAAGGATATACGTATACCCAATCACAATAAGCGGGTGTATATAGTCATGCACATGTCCGTCCCTTCGTCTTTTCGTCCATCGCGCATTTTGTTTACGGATGATAATCAAAATACCGCTTAACCAAACATGTACTTTGAAATTTGAACATAATTTCATGGACCATACAACGGGTACTTATTTGTTATCTAAAAAAAAATGATTTTGTTGATTATTTTTGGGGTTTTTAAATTAAAGTTTAAGTACCACAAGATTTTCCCATAATTTCAGAATTCATGAACTACAGGTGAAGTGTGATTTTGATGGATTTTTCATTTAATTACCAAAAGTTGCGCTAATAGTTTTTCTTTAAAACTTGTTTTCTTGTTTAAGGATGATAGTTAATGTTCCCCAATGTAAAATCTTTTTGAAGTTAAACACAGTTCCATGGACCATTACATTTAAGTCAAGTTCGATTTTAAGATGTATGCAATGAGTGGGGGTATCTTTGACCAATGGGCGACCTAAATGAAATTCATTATCATCATTCAAATTTAAATTCTGTTTATAAATCCTTCAATTCCGAACGGCGTGCGAATGTTTAGGACAAATTCGTATTTGCTATACTATACAACGAATAACGCTGAGTTTTCAACTTCGTTTTTATGCCATGGCGTTGTCAGCTTATCGTTGGCTTGAGTTTGAATATTCATTTGGTATCTTCCGCCTCTTTTTTAAATCTTCATTTTAATACTTATATACGTTATTCTATTAAACTGTATGTCGACCTCTAGATGTTTTTGGTTTATTTATGCCATTAGGTTGCTATTTCATTGACATTTATCCTACAACTTTTTCATATACTAGTAAAACCGAGATTTTAACATTGCTACAGATAAAAATAAATTGTGTATTACTTACTTCTACCAATAAGATAATAACCAAACACACTATAAAAGCTATTGTATAAGTTCTGATCAAGTCATACACTGCATCATAACAACCCTGAAAAAAGTAACAACGCATGGGTCAATGTTTAACTTGTAGGCGAGGATATGAAGGATACTATACCATTTATAGAGTTGATAGTAATAACAATAACACTAACGGTACTAATGTTGGTATAACAGATGCGCATGTTCGAGGACAAAATAGTAGGCTTCTTTTTTTAATAAAGACCAACATCCATTATTGAATGTTTTTCGTTTCGATGTATTAACTTCGAAGCCTATAACAAAATATATATAAGTAATTGCAATGAAAGACAATGTTAATGTCTATGATTTTCTACATGTAACGTTTGGAATAGGACAGTGCAATAATCAAAGCTGTGCTGTTCTTGCATTAAATACGTTAATTAGTAAAAAGCGTTCTATATATGTTAAATAACTTGCTACATGTATTTCAATACAGACTAAAGAATTACAATCAAAATAGTGTTTATTCTAATTCGTCAATAAAGAAAACGGTGTTACTTTTTATTTTTGTTTCATAATCTTGAAGAATTTTGCAGATTAAAATGTATGGCCGCGGCCATGTTATTACACCAGGGTTTTCGATATCACAAACTAGTCAAAACATTTACTAAATTTTATCATCGGTATAAGGACATCATTCGTAAATATAGCTCAACATGCAGACTTCTTATACGTTCAGGTATTTCACATCCAATTTTTTATGGAAATATTCTTTATAAAGCACAAAAATGTCAGTATTCACCTCTGAAGCTAACAAAACCTTTAAATAGACTTATTAAGAAGGGATATAGTTACGATACTGTTGTCAGGTCATTAAAGATTGCATATTTTGGCGTTAATATTGATTCACTTATAGGGTCTTTGCATCGGCACTAAACACATTTATTTAAAAACCAGTTGTTGGCATGACACGGGTTATGTTCTTCTCATATATGTTATGATGGTATGATACTAAACCCCTAACGGGAAGGATTGTGCCTGATATTCATATGATGAAGACATAATCTTTCAATCAGTTTAATTGAAGTCTGGAGCTGGCATGTCAGTTAACTGCTAGTAGTCTGTTGTTATTTATGTATTATTGTCATTTTGTTTATTTTCTTTGGTTACATCTTCTGACATCAGACTCGGACTTCTCTTGAACTGAATTTTAATGTGCGTATTGTTATGCGTTTACTTTTCTACATTGGCTAGAGGTAATGGGGGAGGGTTGAGATCTCATAAACATGTTTAACCCCGCCGCATTTTTGCGCCTGTCCCAAGTCAGGAGCCTCTAGCCTTTGTCAGTCTTGTATTATTTTTAATTTTAGTTTCTTGTGTAGAATTTGGAGTTTAGTATGGCGTTCATTATCACTGAACTAGTATATATATTTGTTTAGGGGCCAGCTGAAGGACGCCTCCGGGTGCGTGAATTTCTCGCTGCATTGAAGACCTGTTGGTGACCTTCTGCTGTTGTCTGTTCTATGGTCGGGTTGTTGTCTCTTTGACACATTCCCCATTTCCATTCTCAATTTTAGTCTTTAGAGAACGACTAGACAATACTGTTTAAAGTACTTTCGAGATTCAAGGCATGCATTGTTCATATTCAATGGTTTCAATTTCATCCATAAACACACATTAATTATTTACCTGCACAAATGGGCTTGCGAGAGTAAAATATAACAATTTTACTGGGTATTTGTTTTATTGAGCTTTAGTTCTGTGTTACATAATTCCGTTAGCATGTACGAAAGTTTAGTCTGTTGTTTAAAATTATAAAAAAAAACCGATTGAAATGAATAAAGAAAATTTAATTATAATTGAAAACAATGCATGAATATAGAAATTGTAAAAATTTCTCAATAAAACTGTAAAATGTATTTGATAATAAAGACTAAAACATTTATAATTGTCTATAGAATGTACTTTGAAATTGAATTTGTAACCTTATTTTTTTGTAACCTTTAAAATAATATGTTTTGCATTTTATCCATTGTCAAGAGAAATTATCCAAATAGATAATAATGTAATACCGTAGTGTTATATTCATTTGTTACCATGGTAAAGTATAAACAAAGGAAAACAATTATTCTATATTAAAACAAATCGACTGGATATGTTTATGCCGTAAACCATTAAAGGTGATATAATTAATTAACACTTTTAAGTAAAGGAAAATCTATGAGATCAGATAAGTCAATTGCTTTTAACAAGTACATATATAAAAATATATACCTTCCTTCAAAAGTCAGGCATCGGAGTTTAAATTCTCTTCAAAAAAAAAAATTCTCTTTGTTTTAAACTTTATAAATAATTTGCTTTTTTTTTTCTATACATATTTGAGGGAGATATGCATATTTTCCGCACTCAATGTTAGTTTTAACAACCTCGACTTTTTATGCTGCTTGTTTTACAAAATATGACTTTTTTCACCGATTTTGTTATGCTCTTGTGATATGCTGTTTTGCTCGTCTGCTGTTAATGTTGATTCGTCCAAAATACCGACGAGATTATAATCTTTACTGCATCTTTACATGATTGAAATAGCCTTACCTTAGAGTACTGACCAACTGGAGCTGACCCAGAACTTGAAGGACATCCAGCATTTGTTGCAGATGCCGACAGATAGGACTCTATGGTAACACCAGGACAACAACCCAGCGGAATGTCGGTGTTTGGACTTCCTGTTTGCCAGGATGTTGAGTCAAAGTCATTTGTTGCTGTTGTCACGGCGTCAACTCCACAACACTCGAGCTGGAAATGTTAAACTTCAAATGACAAAGATTTACCCAAAAAGACATCATCACACCCAATCTTTCCCCAATAAATATTTTTACTATAATGTTAAAATATTATATTCATTCCGCAAACAAACAGTCAGGTTGTCTTGCACATTAATTAAAAAATGACAACGAAATGATATTAAACATGTTAAATATTTTTGTACCGTTGTATTTTAGTATGCATCTTTTCACTCCCCTTTAAACTTCAATGTTGAGGCTTCTGGCATGTCGGTTTTCATCGCTTTCATATCCCTGTTACTTTATTCACAATGATAATTTATTTCAAAAGGGGGTTTATATGTTTGAACAGCGCTCAGAGACATTCCTAAGCAAACGCGCAGAATGTATAAAACAGTTGATGCAATTGACAAGTGTGTTTGATTGATATATTGTTTGCATATTATTCCAAGGTGGGCTTGTATGGCGAGGTATGAGTAGAACCAAGAAGCATCTTTTAATGATTAATACTGTGTAGTTAAATTGTAAATGATTTGACTTGTCTTATTGGCCACCATATCACATCTCTTTATTTTCATATCGAATTCGCACAGCTATGATTTCGAAAATGTTTAACTGAATTGGGAAATCAGGTGATATGCCTTTATATGCGATAATTAAGGACGCCAACTATCTAACAGCCCCAACCCCCTCCACTCCTTTTCGCATTGCTACTTCCAGTTTACTCAAGGTCACTTCCGGTTAACATCTTTCAATGTCATATGTCACCCAACATTTTGCAAAAGACCCTTTGGCTTTATCGTGTACCATTTTGAAGAAATAATCAATTAACCTTAAATTTTAACATTTTAGGGGTAATTAGTCCAATAAGATATCATCAGATCGCTTGTAACTGAATGTACCATATCTTCGTCTCACCAAACCAAATATTTAGCACCAGTTATCTGATATCCAGCTTTTATAGTATGAGATCAATTGCACACACAAGCAAAGGACAAAATTTAGAACATGACCTTGACGCCATTTTCTTTTTGGTGCACCAAGGACATCAAATAAAGATACCCTAGGTCTCTATCACTAACGGTTCATGAGTTACTTTTATATATCTCTTATGTCAAATACAACAGGGGAAATAACTCTCATATGGAGTTTCAGTATCGCACGGTAAAAATTGACCAAAGCACTCTGAGGACTAACGAGCAATTTGGAAAAATAAATTTGTCGATTTCTTTTACGTTATAGTGTTCGTTCAAACAGGTTGAGTTTCAAAAGCGCAATAACTGTTCGATATCATATGAAAAAAAAATTCTAAGCGACATCTTGTGAAATCACAATATACCGCAAGAAAAATGTTTGGCGGAAGAAGAAATAAAAATTCTAATCAGAGCAAATACAATAGGTCTTTCCACAGAAAAGTGGAAAGGTTAATTATACTAAATCATAATTATGTTAAACATTAGTAAAATATTACACGTCAAGGCCTAAATTGGTTTTAGCCCATACGATTTTGTAAATTGGCCAAACTTTTAAAAAAATTCGCCACAGTCATTTTTAGATAAGTTTTACAATATGATTACCTTAATGAAAAGGTAGTTCCAAGAAGTTGATACTTCACTAGAGGTAAGATCGTCATGACTGTATTTGTTCAGGAGTGCTGACTTTAATTCCGACTTTAGTGAATTCACAATCTGTAAAAAATATACAAAATATATCCACCAGTTGTTGCTGATTTGCTAACCCCCCTCACAACGCAATATAAATTATTCGCAATGAACTCTTTTGTTTGTTTTTAATAGAAACTATGTTTTGTCATGAAAACAAGTGATGTACTTGAAAATAAAATGTTCAAATTTATTTCATTGGATTGTTGTTTCTTGTATATCTACTTCAAATTCAATTTTCACTCATACTTGACTGTTAAGCTCTCCTTTTATTTACCAATTGACAATTGCTTTCTGTTAACCATTTTCAAAGTTTATAGTGAAATAAAAAGCGCTTTCTGAGAGTTTGTCATACATTTCTTTCGATTACAGAGTCAATATAGGAAAGTTGACAAACTCGGTGGAATTATTGATAATATTTTGAAAAAGTTTCCAACATTTTCTTTAAATATTCAGTATAGAAAGAGACATTTCGCATTTCGGAATTTTTAGTTCTAAATATTCCTGTTTATTTTCAGATATACTGACTGACTTTAAAAACGCAACACTCATTTTGTTGATTTTTTTTAACTAAATCATGTTTGATCCTCATACAACTACTTTTCATGCTTACCATACTTCTTTTTCTTTAAAAAAAAACCATCTGACTTATCTGTGGTTATTGAACATACCGGATTTTTGAAGTCACACGAATTTCTTAAAGCGATATTTGGAACCCATAAAAGATTTTTTTCAGTTTTTTTGGCTTCGTGAAACAGTTCTTTCAATCCTTGGCCACACTTAAATCAGTTAAAAAAATGTTGCATCTCCATATTGCCAAGACTGAGGATTAAAAAACTGAATCAGCCCATAAGAATACTGCGAACAGGAAAACGTGAACGTGCTGCAACCATACAGTTTGCCTTCAGAAACTCGTCTTACTGTCCTTCCGACAATGATACTGGTAGACGGGATTTGTTGCTGAACATCAATGACCAGATCAACATGTAGTGACAATGCAACGTCAAAGGAAATTGATTACGCAACGTCATTTGCGAGTCATGTTTACGGCCGCAACGTCAACTGCTAATCAAATTGCCGAGTGCCATTGCGCACAAATTCATGCCATAAATGTTTCCCATAAGCTGAACTGCCAAAGAATCGACTGAAGAAAAACATTTAAAGCTCTAAAGTTACAACCGCATAATTGCCAAAACCTATTGTAATGGGTGGTACAAAGGCAAAATCAGAGGGTGTAAAACAGAACCCAAATTCCAAAACCAATTCAAACAGAATTGGTTGACCTTTCTGACAATCATTTTGGCGTTTGTTACAGGCAGTCTTTGCTTTTAACGGTGACACATTCATTCAAAATTTTAAAAAGAATAATCTAGTGTTGCGTTTCTGAGGTCGGTCAGTATACATACTAAAATTGATCAGAATTATTGTTTTATTTATGTATATAATTTACAACATTTTATTTATGGGCTGAATCATAAGTTAAAGCTGTGAAAAGTAATTCTCTAAGAATACACAAAAGGATAAAATGTTATGATGATGCGTAGTTATGATTCAAAAACATTTTCAATTGAATTCAATCATAAATGTAATGATGATAAAACGATTGATAAAAGGCAGATAACAGATGTTGCAGATCAATATCTAAACTGCGTTCGGAGTTACCGCCCTTGTGCCAGTTAAACTCTAAAAAGAAAAGATTAATTGTCATTTGCATATATCCATTTTCTTTTTCGTTTTATTGCTTGCATATAATGAAAAGGCAACACGAATTATTTGTGAATGAGACAGCGACCCAACAACACACAAAATACTAGAAAACAAGAGATTGCTGTTATGCCATTGGAAAATTGTATCTAGTTTTACTGATGTCCGTATGTGAGGTGTTATATTTGTATGTTTTTTTCCTTTATTGCTCACAAAGAGAAGTATTCTTCGTGTCACATGTTGAGTCATGTACTGATACCGAAAAATAAGTATCCTTCTTATTATTTTTATTCTTATTCTTGTACTAACAGTACTTTGTTCTATACACATCAAATTATGTTGAGGCGGGTTGAGGCAAAGACAATTTTCAAATGTGGTTTTCCATTTTGAACCAGTTTTAGTGATTGCCTTTATAGCATTAAAAGTCCATGTTAAAGAAGGGAATAATACAATGTGAATGGACATTTTGTAATGATTCTTATATATTTATTTTCAATGCCGTATTGCTATTTCTGTTTATACTCTGTTATGATTTTTATTAATATTCAGAAATAATGAGACTAGCTTAGAGTTTTCCTACACGTATTTCCTTTTTTCGTTTCATTGTATACATCCGAATAACAGGTGATATGGGGTATATTTGAATTAGACAGCGATAAGACAGAAAAAACACTCCACTTGATTTTTTTGATATTTTAGGCGGGAAATGCACAATAAAGGCAATCTCGAAAATGATCTCATGAAAAGGAAACAATACGAACGCCTATTTTTTCTCTCAACATAACAAATTTATTAAACTTACCGTGTCGTTCATTACAAACCATAGTATCACAATGACAAGTTTACCAACAAACAAAATACCGACTGCAATGGCATACTGAAACACAGAGAAACCTTCTTTTCAGATATTATAACTAACATGATAAACTTTAACACCACTTTAAAAAATCTTTGAGTCTGTTTTTTTTTATCTAAATTGCTGATAATTAAAAATATGAATTAATATAAACAATACAAAATTTGATGCTTGCCAAATATGTAAAAAGGAAAAACACATAAATTGATGACATTAGCAGCACGACAGGTGCCACATGTGGAGCAGGATCTGCTTACCCCTTTCGGAGCACCTGAGATCACCCCGGTTTTCGGTAGGGTACGTGTTGCTCAGTCTTTAGTTGTCTATGTTGTGTTTTGTGTTCAGTTGTTTGTCCTTTCAGTTTATTTTCGACTTAGGAGTTTGAATGTTCCTTTGGTATTTTTCGCCTCTCTTTTAATGATTGCACCAAACGAAAATGCTAGAAGCAACCCGTTGCGATAGTGAAATGTCGACAAGGGAAAATTGAACAGAAAAAAAATAGTTCTTATTAAATGCGAAAATGCACCCAAGTGTTGTGCTTGACAAAGTAATCTATACATATGACAATGATATTTAAGGAAGCAGTAAAGGAAAAATCCGTTGAAAATTAGAAATGATATGAAAAATTCTACATTTTGTATTGCATTCCCTTTTTGAACTATTACTTGTCGGAAACTATAAATGCAACAACCAACCTTTCTGAAGATATACCAGTAGATTTTTTTTAGTGGAATTCAGTGGAAAGTACGTGCAAAATCGTTTCGATAAAACTTAACAATAAAATTGAGAATGGAAACGGGGAACGTGTCAAATAGACAACACCCGACCAAACAGCAGAAAACAGCCCAAGGCCACCAATGGGTCTTCAACAGCGAGAAAATACCGCACCCGGAGGCGGGCTTCAGCTGGCCCCTAAACAAATGTGTACTAGTTCAGAAAAAATGGACGTCACACTTAACTCCGAAACATATAAATGAACCAAAAGTAAAAAAAAACATACAAGACTAACAAAGGCCAGAGGTTCCTCACTTAGGACAGGCGCAAAAATGCGGCGGGGTTAAACATGTTTTGTGAGATCTCAACCCTCCCCTTATACCTCTAGCCAATGTAGAATAAACAAAAACACAGCAATTCGCACAGTAAAACTCAGTTTAAAAGAAGTCCGAGTGCGATGTTAGAATAGGTAACAGAAGAAACTAAGCAAAATGACAATGATCAACATAAATTATCAAAGGACTACTAGCAGTTACTGACATGCCAGCTCCAGACCTAAATTAAACTGATTGAAAGATTATGTCTTCATCATATAAAAATCAAGTACAATCCCTCCTGTAAGGGGTTTAGTATCATACCATCATAAAATATATGAGAAGAACTTAACCCGTAACATTAGACTGTTGATCATGTTTAATGTTTTCATGTTTAACTTGTGTCTCCTTTTATTCCAAGTTACATTTATGCTCCATACTTACAACAATCAGACACATTTTGTTCTGACAGCACGCTCCACAAGCACCACAAGTTGCTACGATCAGAACAAACCCTCCAAGCACGATCAAGGTTATCGAAAGACCTTGAGCTAGATCACCAAGGTTAGATGTACCAATGGATACCTGCTGCATCAATGGTAAGATTTTGTCGTTGATAACGTCGACATTTACTATCATCAGCAAGCCAGGTATCAAAATTCCCAAACCAAGAAGCTACAATAAAATAATATATCTAATTATGATTTGAAGCTATAGATAGAATGAAAAAAAACGCTAACTTTTAACCTATTTTTATATTTTGTTCTAATGTTGTACTGTAACACCACTGACCAAGGCTAGTGGGGATGTAAATTAAAGCACTCTTTAACATTTATTAACCATTTCATATTTGATATGTGTTTGTTTCCAGCAAGGTTCCTGTAGTCCAGTAGTTTTCGTTAGTTGCTGTCTCAAATAATTGTTTTTCGTTTTACACTATTTGCTTTAATCAGACTGTGGTTTTCTCTCTCATACCACGGAGCGTTATATTGTTTGATCAATATGAACTGCATTGTATGTTGTATATATACATATTCCTAATCCGATGGTTTAGGTCTAAGGGTATGATAGAAATCTTTACCATTCCACTATTGTGTAATGCATGATCATTGGATTTTCACACGAGTACATTTTACGACGTTTTGTACGTGATTTACACGTGTATCTTCTGTAAGATTTTGCCTCTGGTTTTCAAAATGTCAATATGCTTGAGAATAAATAGAGCGTTGGTTCTTTAAATCAATTTCCATTTCAGAAATTTACTAAAATAATAATTTTCGCTTTAGCTTGGAACTGTAGCGCCTATCAAATCAAATACTTTAAAATTGGTATTTGCTGCTCTCTCCGTTGATCACGCGGCATTAAGGAGTAAGAGCAAAGACTGATCGGCTCGGAGTCAGAATAAAGTGTCCAGGTAAGGTGACATTCCTCCATTGGACTGTTACATTGTGAACTAGCATGTTAAAAATCCGGCTCAGCGTGTCGGTCTAGTCATGGAAGTAATATTTAAATATTACTTCCATGGTCTAGTACAAAGAAGGGTTCATATTTATACCGCATTAACATGTTCTCGTCCTGAGTATGCATTTAATTTGCCATTGGACGTTAATCAGCCATCCATCTATCCATTCCTTCTGTCATTGATTACGTATATTAAAGTCATATAAAACTGGTTTCTTTTAATTTTAATGTTATCGAAATTATTGAACCAATGCGTGTATATATACTAAACTAAGTCATGTATGCACGTTTTTATATTTATTACGACATCTATAACGTATTATTGACAAATAATTATATTTCATTCAGTGATTGTGATCGCAATCTAATTAACTTTCGAGTTTGTTGCCGACGTTTACCGGATCATGACATTGATAAACAATCAACATCAAGCATGTGGAGCCCGTGACAAATAAGTGAATGATAGAGCCGTGATATATATTTTTTTTTATATTTTCCATGCGTTCCCATTAGGTAATTAAACTTTTCCTTAACAGTTGTTACATGTTTTTTTTATTAAATTTGTTTTATAAGAATCCGTTATTACTTCTTACCTTCCAGTGCACGTTTGTTTACATTCTTACATCACGGTTTCCCCTCGCACTTGCACTGTGCGGTGGCCGAAGTTCTAACGAGAGGTCTCGTAGTTAAGGTCACTCCATACGGGAAAATATCGGCGAATCAGTGTACGGGAAGACAATAATTCAATAGCAACTTACATTTATTAAGATTTTGATAATATGAAGAATTTTCTTTTACAAGAAAGTTCACATAAACTTTTTTCAGTGTAAAACTTAGCCATTCAAGTATATAAAACATATTCAACTTTATTTTCTAAATTTGAAGTTTCATATGACTTTAAACTAGCATTTAAATAAATGAGTTGCCTTCCTTTTACCAGAAAAAAATATAGACATTTTGGTGTAAGCTGTTACGAATTTACAGTTATAAAAAATCATTACAGAGCTTACCATAAACAGGATGTTCAGCACAATCAACAGAATCTTGCTCACTTTTTCACTCCAACACATGATGGTATTTTCTGCAAAATGATTATAAACCAATCAAGTTAAACTTTGTTTTATGTATAAAAATGGAACTGGGAATACCGTTTGTATTTGTTTTTAATCATTTCACTCCCCTTTCTCGTAAGTAGATATGGCAACATTCCCATATATTTGTTTAACTCAGAAATGAAAGCCGTTAAAAATGTTGAATTTGGATTTAAACTGAAGAACACACAGAACCCACCTGAATTTATCTGTTATTTAAAGAAGATACATAAAAACCTTATGGTAGATGTTTTGTTATAGTTTGCAATGTTCTTTCTATTTGGTTTAATTAAGTTCTCAAATTTCCGGAAAGCTTATAAGCTGCAATTTTGTGTTTATAATTTCAAATGTGACAGTAAAGATCTACGCGCCTACTTTCTTTCTGTTTGGAAACACCAATGATTTATTTGAAACTGCATGTATACTTTGTAATGTTACAAGGAAGGGATACAGAACATCAGCTTAGTTACCGATTTCACAGAAGAAAATATTAACATTGATTTTCAAAGACATGCACATGCGCGAGAAGACGGTGGATTGCTTAAAATTCATGTAGGTTAAATTTTTGGTTTAAGGTAGTTTGTGGTAACATCAACTTTCAACAAAGTACACATGTTCATTATGAAGTGAACTGTTTAATCTATATGCCAAAATAGGGTTTTGACCCAGATTACACGGTTATAATATGTGAAAGTTTTGTTTTAAGGTATGTTAATTTTTAGGTTTGGATTTAAGATAGTTTGTGGTCACATCAAATTAAAATTAAGTTAGCACGAAGGTTCATTATTAAATAAACTTTATACTAGTATTTCGCAATAAGGTTTTGACGGTTCATTGAACATGGAAATGTTGAAATGTGCGAGCGGGGTATGGTTTATAGTTGATATATCTGTTTGCATCAGTTTGAATCATTTTGTTTACTTGATTTATTAAACAACGTTATTTTTTTCTGATAGATAAAAGATGGGCTAATGGAATGCCGATTAAAGTTGATTAAAAAGAGAGACGAAAGATACTAAAGGGATATTCAATCTCATAATTCGAAAACAAACTGACAATGAAATGGCAAAAAAAAGCGAAAAACGACGAAAAGACAAACGACAGTACACAAAACACAACATAGAAAATTAAAGACTGAGGAACATGAACCCCACCAAAACACCGGGGTCGATATCTGGTGCTCCGGAAGGGTGTGCAGATCCTGCCGAAAAATCTACAAAAATCCAAGAAATATACGAAAATACTATGACATCGATATAATTCGCCTTATCTGTTTGTTGACATTGACTGTTAAACAATAAACATAAAACAAAGTGGTTAATACTTCTACCAAAAAATTATAAAGTTGCATGCTAAACTTTCACATTGACATCAAGGTATATGGTTATTTCAGGTGCATGGGTTATAAAGCAATTCCTTTTATGTATGCTTTGGAACTCATACTTTCAGAAATCCTACAAAAAATATCGATATTTATTTTGTTCTCCAACAAATTGTCTGCTTTTATAACTTTTTTTACGTTGAAGTATGGTATTTATCTTGCATTCATTTGGCAAAATTTACCGAAGAAGTGAAATTTTCTACAAACAGTATTGACAGATACTTGTATAATAAATGTATTTCCGAAAATGAAAATATTGATGAAAATAAACCTTTGTTTTGCTTAGACGAAAAGTTTCAATAAATTAATTTGAAACGATAAAGCAGAAAAATTAAATTTAATTTCGATATGTTTTTAATTGGTAGAGTTAATCATTTTGGGTTTATGTTTATATAACTGCTTTTATATTTTTTCTTCTGAGAATATATGTGATCATTGATTTTAAAGTCAGCAACTATGCTATGGTCTAACAACTAACTGAATGAACAAACAAACATTTACTGTCAACTAGATTTTCTAAATAAATATCTTTGTCATTTTACGAATGCGATTCTCGTGTAAAGGATTTTTGAAAAGCTAAGTCTACATACTTGTTAATATTTTACAATATTTATATTAGGGATCGTCGCTTTTGTTTGATTTTGCATTAGTGAATTGTCATTTAAACTAAATATATGGTTCAAATGTATATGATAATAATTCCGGTATTGTTGAAATAGGAACCTTGCCAAAAAAATGAAAACAATAACACAGGAAACTAGTACATATACGGATAGAACGGAATCCACGGTATTCAGCATCGGCTATGCACGAAGCTCATGTCTTTTTCTAAATCATAAGATTTCTGGATATCGTATTGAGAATTTTAAAACATCTGATGATTGTGCGTCTGTCTCAAATTGGAATCTTTGGTGATTGGTTGTCTTGTCGCCATTGTTTATATTTGGTCACCGCACCGTCATTACTGACTGACAGTAACATTAAAATACAAGCAGTACCACCAAAACTTCACTGATTAGAATTTTTTTTATATAAGTATATGGCATGTCATTGAAATGACGAAGAAAAAGAAAAAAATTGATTGATCATGAAAGAAATACAAGAAGGAGGTTATACTTATGTATTGGTATGTTTGACTTGGACAAAGCCACCATTTTCTTTCAAAAGTGGTTGTACAACAAGCACGCAATATGCTATTTATTCGTCAAATTGTTCAAATATAGATCCTTTGAAGAGATTTCCCCTAAATGTAGGCAGAATCAATGAACATTGATATTTTTGGACATACTTGTAGTTTGGTATTTTTTTTTATACATTATTTTCCACTACTTCCAAAACGAAAAACGAATGGACGCAAATACACACGGACAATGCACATACGGTTAATGTGAATTATTCAACAACACAAAAACACTGGACGACACTTAGGCAGACAAAAGACAACAAGATCATTAAAGATAGCCAGCACAGCTGGGAAAGTCGAGCAGATAGGTAGTTAGAGAGACAGATTGAAATGATCTTACCACAACTTGAAAGAATTATTTCCAAATATCTCTGTATGTATGAAGTCCGTAAACATATATAATTCAGTAATTAGTTAAATCACTAGACCTTTCCTTCTGTCCAGTAAATGTATATTATTTGTTTTCGTCACACATAATCTTAATTTAATCTTTAATCCCTCAGACACGTATAAGGTTAAATAATCAAATGGAACTATTATTTGACCATTTGATTTAAAAATCTTGAAATAAATGTACGTGAAAATTAAACTGAAGTTATTAAAGTAAGACAATTGAAAGCTGTTGTTAACATTTTAATACGAAAAAAAAATCATTAATATTTATTTTTTCTATAATCTTTCAAAAAAGAATTACAGAAAGATAGATAAATTCATAATCAGGGAAGGTTTTATAGTTTATTAGAATAATATTAAGTAAATGAGATTTTCAATTAAACAGTTATCACAACTTAGATAGTACACTCATAAATATAAAATTGTTAATATGTATACCCCATATTTAAGAAGTCTACATAATTATTTCAACCTTCTAATACCGAGAGTGTATACACAGACAAGTCCGATATCAATATTTTCTCAATTTCGGTTCCCGATACACAACCATTTAACGTCCGTATCTTTACATAGATTATCTCGGATTCGAAAGATCTAACTTTGCATTTTTATTTGCACAATTGATGCTACAGCTCCTGGACTGCTTGTTTTGATATCATTAGCACAAAATGGAGCATACACAAATCAAGAGATTTATTATTAAAATCTGCAGCTTTCCCTCGCAGAAAAAGATAAGGTTCATGTAAAATGATGCCACAATTCTGTTAAATTCACGTTTTAAGGTTTCTACCCCTTGGCAACAATTGCTTTAGAATTATTCGGAGTTTTCGGTTTTTAATTTTCTTTAGCTTCGTATTTATTTTGGCTTTCAACAGTTCTTATTCGAGCGCTACTGATGAGTGCTATGTAGACGAAACGCGCGTCTGGCATGCCAAATTATAAGCCTATTATCTTTGATGAATTTTTTGATGACACCGTATTTTCTATTCATTAGATGTACTTTTGGCGTCATGTATACATGAAGACATGGGCAAGACAAGACAAGACAAGACAAATACTTTATTAAAGTCTCACCACTTGTTACATATAAAATATACAGCTTTTTAAAACACAGGTTAACAACAAGAGCCACTCTATAAAGAGTTATGAGAGACTATAAAACAATTTTTCTTAAATTATAATACAAATACAAGTCAACTATCATGAGTATAAAATACATTTTCGCTTTATTAAAATTTCATAGCAGATTTTGGCAGTATAAAATACCATATTTTCATTTGTAAAAAGAAATATAAATTTTCATTATCAGACATATGTAAAAAATTCTCATCAACAATACTAGCATGGTTAAAAATAACATTACGAATATCTGAATATACAGGACAGTTTAACAAAACATGTTTTTCATCTTCAACGTCATCAATACAGTTAAAACATAATCTATTTTCAATATCAATATTTTCATAACGACCAGTTTCAATTCTGATTGGTGCTACGCCACATCTAAATTTGGCTAAAGCACTCCTGTATCTACCTGGTATATTAACAATCAAATAATTTTCTACACCATATACATTTTTAAACATTCTATATGTACGTAATTTATTTTTATCATCTGAAATAATTTTGTCATACCATTCTTCCTTAAATTTTTCAAAACATACATTTTCAATATTCTTAATTAAATCCTTGTTCAAAATATCACCATTGCACAAATATTCCATATCAAGTTCTTTAAACTTATTTTTTACTCTAAAATGCCAATTTTTTACTTTTTTACATGTGTTACCCCATATATGTAATTGAAAGTAATGAATAACATTGCCTTTTTGCCATGTAATTATGAATTACTTTTCAATTACTTTGAATTACATTTAAATAATTCCATGGAAATTTAAAAAAAGAAAAGATTTTTTGATGCAACTTTTAGTTTTCCTTCATTTAGTATGCACTTGCAACTTTCATTTTTCTTAATAGTTTTTAAACATTTATCATGATGAAAAAAAAAATTTAACATTCCTCAAATTATTTTATTGATCATTATAGCATGTATTATAATCTTAATTTGTATTTAATTCATTAATTTTTCATATGTTTACATAAAAAAATCTAAATATTAACAACAATACCAATTTATTTACATGCAATTTTTGAATATGTTGTTTTAACAATTAACTATGATCTTAGCCTGAGGTTATTCCTTTCATTTAACTAATTATTAAGTACAAATTTGTCTCTTGATTAAAATGCCAAAAGCAATCTTTTTGAATCATCATATTTATATGTTAAAATCTGTACAGATGGCTATTTTTTAAACACTTTCTACAACATTTTAAATACAACAGTCAAAACACACAAGAATGGAGTTCGATATACTTGACAATTTTGGCCCATCAAAAAACAAGTCTTGAAAAATCTATCATTACTCTTCTGTAATTAACGGAAGCTTTTTAAAAAATCACTTCAAATTTCACATGAGGTACATAAGAAAACTTTTAAAATATAAATTAATATTTTTAGTAGAAACTTGAAATTTGAAGAAAAAATTCATGAAATTCTTAAGAATAAAAAATATATTAATCTGAAAATTATATATAAATGACATATAAAATGTAAATCTTTATAAATTGTTTTCGTATAAAAATAAGAAATGCAATCAAATAATCAGTAATGTAACAATGACGTTAGAAATTTTGAAACTTTTTTTAAACTAGTCTTGTTCAAATGTTTTCTTTGTTAAAAAGTGAACCTACTGGTATATAGGTATACATAAGGTTCATTCTATTCTAGCCTGTTGTCATATTCCTGATTTTATTCTAAATGATACAGTTAGGATAGAAGTAATTGAAATGTAATTAATTACACTTTAAAATCAATTTAATTGTGATGTAATTAATTACATTTAAAAATCAATGTAATTGAAATGTAATTAATTACTTTGGCATGTAATTGACCCCCAGGTCTGTTACTGGTAAATTGTTAAGCCAGGGATTTCGTTACCACAATTTACTTAAAACCTTTACTAAATTCTTCCACAGATATAAAGCTTTGGTTTTGAAGTTTGGTTGTACCTGTAGAAAACTTATTTCAAACGGGATTGCACATCCTAATTTTTACGGCAATATTGTTTACCGTGCCCGGAAATTTAGAAACGATCTTGGTAAACTTATCGATCCTTTAAATAAACTTATTCTAAAGGTTACCAATTCAACACTGTAATTAGATCATTAATTTTTGTTTTTATTAGTACTGATATTGATTTTGTTATCACTGTAAATTAAAAGCAAACTAAATATTATTGTTATTTACTTATACACATTCATGGATCTACAATCTGTCGATACCTGTATCTTGGCATTGCACAAGGTCATGTTTTTTCTCTGACTGTTTATGACGTCTTTACACTAAATCCATTGGATGTTGGATGTGTACGGATTAATAATTTAGTCTTAGATGCATGATTTTTTTATTAGTTGTTAGTGGCTTTGAACTAACTGTCAGTAACTGCGAGTACTCTCAGATTTGTACTTAGTGTCTTTGTTGTTTGGATGTACAAGTACCCGGCCACGTCCACTTGTAATTGCAGTATTTGTATTTTTATCCATCTGATGAGTTAAGCCTCTTTCGACTGATTTTTATAGTTCGTTCTTATGTTGTACTGTTACACCACTGTCCCAGGTTAGGGGGAGGGTTGGGATCCCGCTAACATGTTCAACCCCGCCACATTCTGTATGTATGTGCCTGTCCCACGTCAGGAGCCTGTAATTCAGTGGTTGTCGTTTGTTTATGTGCTACATATTTGTTTTTCGTTCATTTTTGTACATAAATTAGGCCGTTAGTTTTCTCGTTTGAATTGTTTTACATTGTCATTTCGGGGACTTTTATAGCTGACTGTGCGGTATGGGCTTTGCTCATTCTTGAAGGCCGTACGATGACCTATAGTTGTTAATTTCTATGTCATTTGGTCTCTTGTAGAGAGTTGTCTCATTGGCAATCATACCACATCTTCTTTTTTTATAATTATTTAAAATTTTACTATGCAACATGATTATATATAAACATTGTGTGTAATTTCTCTTCCTTTTTATCAAAATTTCATCGGCAAGTGCCAAGACTTTTAATAGATAAATATTCAGTGTCTACTTCACAAAAAAAATAAAGAATGGTCTTGAGTTATAGATTCTAGATGCTGATATTGTGTATCATCTTATTCACCCTACAGTTTTTCCCTTTTTTTGTCTTTGTACTATTAAGTTCCTTTTGGTCGTATGAATTTTGACGTGACTCGGTATTTGTGCATCCAGCTATCGAGATTTTGGCTCTGGCCATTCCTGATGCGGATAGGTCCAAAGGTACGATTCGGACGCATAAGGTTTTAATGGTGTTGTTTTTATTTTGTTTACCCTTGTATTTATATTTAGCTTAACTTTATGGGAAAAGTGGGCCCCTCCTTATACAAAGTTCTGGATCCGCCACTGCTGACGCCCTCATGAAATGGCGTCCTATCAACAGCTCATTAAAGTTATTTCACACAGAAGTAACAGTAGGTTCTTAACGAAACAAGTTCACTCTGGAAACAGTATGTCAATATATATGTTCCTGGTTCACTTTATTTTTGCATTGAACATGATATGAACCCACGGATCCATAACCTTAAAAAATGGTTCACCAACGGTTGATAAAATGTTAGTCTGAATAGAATGATAAAAGTTATGCCCAGTACGCGTTTAAAAATGGGCTCTATTCCGATATTTTGAGATGTTTCAGTGATGTACTTGTTTTGCGTGTAATGAATTTTAGAGGTTAATTTGACTTATAATCAGTAGGATTATCAATTTTATCAAAAATGTGTTGTTTTTTTTTGTATTTATATCATTAGTATTATCTGATATTTCCTATTATCTTCTGAAATCTTGTTTTGAAAATGAATGATTTAATATATTCATATCAAACATTTCAAATTTTACTCTGGGTTTACCAAGTCAGGAATATGACAGTTGTTGTCCATTCGTTTGATGTGTTTTGTCATTTGATTTTGCC